ATTCAATCATTGTAGTGTTCTTGTGTTTTTGGGTTCATAATCATTGTTACATAATTTTCGATATTGTTGGGCTGTGTCTGATGATTTTATTGTTTTTGAAAAGGAACACAAGTTTAAAGATGAAGATGAATAGAGATGAAGATGAACAAAAATGAGTTGTATTATTAATTGGGTTGGATCAGTTTGAAATTGAGTAATTTAAATAAAATTGGGTAATTTTAATTGATTTGGGATTTCCATTCAATTGAGGGGCACAAATGATGAAATTAATAACGACATGGATAAGAATAACTTCATTTTGACGTAAGGTATAATAATCAACCAATAAAATAAAGTTGAGAATATTTTTGATCCTTTTCCCTTTCTTTAATCATTATGCCAAATTGTGAAGTACCTTCACGCGCCAAGAGGGGATTATTGCTTAGATGACAAGCACCCTCTATCTCCAACCTTGAGATTGTGGATTCGAGTCAAGGAAGCAAAAAAATAAAAATAAATGGAAACTCTTAGGAAGGGGCTTAAAAAAAATGCATAATACATAAATATATCCTTTAACTTGACTTCAAATCACATTTATGTCCTTCAACTTTAGGTATGCACAAATAGACACTTAAACTTGTATAAAGTTGAACAAATAGACACACATGTCCTACATGGCATCCTACATGTCATTTTTTGTCCTACGTGTACTGTGCCACGTAGGACTCACGTGTCTACTTGTTCAAGTTTATACAAGTTTAAGTATCTACTTGTGCATATCCAAAGTTGAGAGACATAAATGTAAAATGAGGCCAAGTTAGAGGGCACATTTATGTATTATGCTTGAAAAAAATATATACCTACACAACTCTCAACAGGGCATGGGTCTACGAATTCCCAATTCGAAAAACCAGATGAAAAGTATGGCTTATCAATTTAATACTCGCTGATAACTTGTCCACAAGTTCATTGAATCTGGTCGTTCTCATGATTGGATATCTCACTAACAAGAGCAGAAAACTGTGTAACACATATATAATATCATCCTAAAGCTTGTTCAAGGAGCATTACAACATAATTAACTCAAGAAACCTTAGTTTCACCTGAACAACCTGCAACTGGTTTTTCATATCATACAATTATATTAAACTTTAAAGGATGACACACAAATAGAACCAAACATGGCACACGACTACGTTGATCTGGAATTGCATAGTACATAGCCAGATATGAGTGAGCTGAAGGCCAAAGCCGCAAATGAAAGGAAGGACAATGCTACAGAGATGCTTGCCATATCAGGAAATTTGTCCTTGCCCCAATTGGACTGCCAATCATCAATGCGAGTGGCAGCAGAAGATGATGCTGATATCAGAAGATATGTTACCACCTGTCATTTAGAAAAATACTAATTTTTTAACAGAAATTACGAGTATCAATACAAGCTCTCCACACGTTTAGGTATATCAGGAGTCGCCTTCAGTTTCTGGTCTAGTCACCAAGAACATGAAGCTCCATATGGACCAGGTACCAGCTTGGCTAAACAAGTATAAAATGTGCTCTGGTTCTATATTCAACCTTCGAAAAAATTAGATTATCTGTAGATATGACCTAAAATTGTTTATTTAGTTGCATTAAAAACTTAGTCAGTCCCCTAAAATGTGGATATTTCATATCAGCTTTAAAGCAACAGCTTATTATCAATCAATGAAAAATGTCTAGGCAACTAAGTATGAGATTATACAAAATTAATTACAACCCGATAAGTTTATGTAGTTGGGTCTCAAAAGGACCCTTGCTGGTATATCCTCGGGATCTCTCTCCTGGAACCACTTGGTGAGGGGGATTTGTGGGGTGGAGACAGTAAGGTTGTACATTAATGCAATAACTTTCACGAACAAAAAGGAACTTCACACAAAGAAATGCGAATAGACTGACACCTGCTAACTACAACTGAAGTATGCGTTCTTCAAAGCCCATTTCATGATTAATTCACAAACATCTGAGTCCATTTTTAAATATAAAAAATAATCTATGCTAACACTAAATATAAAACTGTGATAATCTATTGCTTCTGTTTGAAGATCAAAATAATTGTATTTGAAGATCAAAATAATTGTATCTGCATGCATTGCTTTTGTAAATACACAGGTGCAGGAAAGTTTGTCAAACCATAATTCATAAGTAAGTAACCTTCTTAATTGTTAAATATTGGTTCTTAGAATTAAATTAACTAAACCTGAAGTATACATCAAGTACCAATAAATAAACTAGCTATTTGTAAACAAATTGCAGAAAACGGAACGGAAATATAGAAAATTGCCAAAGGACCTCACCAGACAAACCAACAAAAGAAAAAACATTTCACTTGAATTCGTATCTCAATAAGTTAAAACCTTTTAAGAACTATTTAGCGCCCAAGAGAATTACCAAATCCACAAAGGTGTATCCAACGGAAAAAGGTGTTCTGAAGGTTTACAAGCTATCATCTGCCATATCCTCTTTGCAATCTCTATTGTACTTCATTTTTTTACTTTCGTATCTTCCATACAGATTCAGCTACCCATTAGGAGAGTTCTAGTCATTTTAGCCTTTCGGAATTTAGAGGATACACAAAACAAAGCCTATTGGGAAATGCTTATATGTACAAGATAGCCATGGAAGGAACCAAATCACAGTAATCAGTCTGCTAGTGCAGAGTATGCAAACGAGCTTAGTAACACTTAAATTCAGGAAGGACTGGCATTAATGTAATCACATTCGATTTGTTTGGTTTTTAGTAAGGGCTCAATATTGGTTTAATGGGAGAAACTTATCCTCAAGATAAATGTAAAAAAAGGAACTTGTGCTTATGGAAGGCATATAGCCAAGGGTAGGTAAAATTTAGGGCTCAAAAGGAGTATGCCACAAAAAAGGTGATTCTACAGTTGGGATGGTCCTGTTAGTATTTTCCAGCCAATGAAAGTTAGCAATTAATAGGCACCTAGATGATCATAAAGGAAAAATTCCTCCAACCCTGCAGGAATATTTTTGAGTGAATTCTATGACAAATAAACATTTTTATGGGGTATATGATTCCTCTCCATCCCCTTTTCTGTTCATTTTACTTCAGAGTTAGATAGCTACAACAGTCTTCACCAGGCTAGTACAAAATCATCACCACCATCAAACGATTTTTTCCTCTCAATCAATGCGCTCAATATCATAATTAATAAGCCATAACTTCCATTACCCCCAAAAGAGAAGAAGTCAGAAGTTCTAAAAGCTTAAAACAATTATGGAACTTAACTATGAAATATGCATGTATAAAGATAATAAATCTTATATTTATTATTTTGCTATAAACAACATGTATTAGTGTAATTGGACAAACCAACTTACCTGATCAAGGGCAAAATCAAACATGTAGCGCAAATGATGCTGCACGATGTTCTTGCCGGTGGCAGATTGGTAGGCTAAATCAAATGCCTGAGCTCCTGAATACACAAATCCTATGACATTCACTGACATACAGTACCTGCAATGTTATTCACCTACCAATATTATCATTCATAACTACACTACCACCAAACACATTTATTCATTGATGTGAAAGAGTGAAACTTAATGCGCTGCAGAATTAATTCAGTCAATGTAAAGAGAACAAGTGATAAACCTGAACTCCTTGTAACGTTCGAACGAATCCAGAGCCCAACCCTTATTCCTATCAGCTGCCATAACAGAAAATGAAACCAAACAAAACAAAAACCCAAAAATCCTAAAACCTAAACCCGCTTTCTTTACCATCTCATCCCTCCTCACTTTTCTTAAAATCGACAACTGTGGCCTTCCTCTCCGCCGACGGTTGCGGCTGTCTTCACCTTCCTTAACACTAGCTGTACCATCTCCGACAAACATATCTGCTTTCACCAAAGCCAGTGGCTCCTCCTTGATAAACTTCTTCACCACCGCTTCCGGTATCGGAGGTTTTTCCGGTGGACTCCCCGTCGGAGCTGTAGAAGGCTTATTATCCTCCAGAGTAAAGGACTCATGAGGAAGAGAAATTTGATCGGAGGAAATTGATGATCTCGGCGGAGATTCCACCGGCGGGGAAGATACCTTAGTAGAATCTCTGTTAACGGCAGGATGAGCAATAGCAGTAGTATAAATACTCTCACTAGCTTTATCGGTTCCGGACTTAGTAAAATCATTTGAATCGAAAGAAATTGATGAACTCGGCTGAGATTCCGGTTTAGTAGAATTTCTATTAACAGCACCATTAGCAGTAGTAGCAGTAGTAGAATTAGGATTAGTAGCTTTATCTGTATTGGACTTAGCGGAATCATCAGAATCTGAGGCGCTATGAAAACGAGCTGGAGAAGAGAAAATAATAGCTTTATCAGTTTCAGAATCAGTAGAATCTGAATCAGAGAGGGAGAGATGCTGCTGTTCATTCTCCATAGCCGTTTGCAGAGTCTGCTTGGTATGATTCGATTCCATGATGAAGAAACAGAACAGTGCTGCTACAAAAATGGGATTTGGGGTATGAAAATGGATTGAAACGGAAAATAGAATAATGAATAGAAGTTGAAAGATGAGGTCTCTGCGATAATGATAGTTTTGGCGGTTTCCACTTTCGTCTTCCACGTCTGAATTTGGGAAAGCTCTATATTTAGGAGTTAGGACTACTACTAAATACGAGTACAGTATTCAAATGTATAGAGTACTCTCATACAATTTAAGAAAGTAAGAAAAATTAAAAATTGTGATCTAAAAATTAAAATAAATTATAATATTTTTGTGGCTATAAATTATATCATTCTTTTTATAACTAAATAAAAAGAAAAATGAGTCATATGCCATTTATCCTAATTTTCCAAACGAAATTATACTGACAAATCAAGAAAATAAAAAAAGACGTATTAGAAACGGTACAAAGTATACTCAAAGCATCCTTCGTTAATAAGCAGTGCGTTGACAGATTAACTTGACACTATGAATCCTCGAGTTATTTAACAATTATTACGCAATTTCTACCTCCCGCCTGATAACAAATTGTTTTCACCAAAATGAAATTTCTGATCACTAATCACCAGTATCCAGATTCGTAAATCATAGCCACTTTTACATGCATATCTCGCAATTTCACATTGATGTTTACAGACCTAACTAAACAGAGACGGATTTAGAGCTAGTTCAGCAGGTTCAGAAGGCACCCGTTACTCTCAACTTGTATTACGTATAGATATTGTACATATAAACGATTACAAGAACCCAGTGACTCTTTTAAGTTCTGGATGCACCTACGTTTCTGAAAAGTTGGTGCTAATGAAAGTAGTGAAACATTCTCACAAGCCTGAGAAGTATTTGCGAGCTTCATAATACCGATCCAACTCTACGTTGAAGAGTGGGTGAACCTGTTCCAACAGACATTTGGAATAAGGACCAAATACATCCCTGGGTAATGGTGGAGAATCAGCTTCGTCGGTCCAGCTATACTGAGCAATTGAAAGACCACTTAAACAGTAACACGTATGGTAGTAGTCTCTACCCTTCCCAGGTTTGTCTCTGAAACCACCTACTTCAATCTACATCCACAACATGATATTAGAATCTTGAAAAGGATATAAAAGCAATATAAACAGGAATAATACACTGCCAAAAGAATCTAAAACTAATATCTTGGTGAGTCCCAGCATCTGATACAGAATATTTAAAACCCACTTAACTTTCTTTTTCCCTTTGAAGAATGAATAAATAGTTCCCCATTAAACACATGAAAATTGAACTCTAATTATGAAATGAATGCAAAATAGAGCTGTTGAATCCGACACCAATTAAGAGAATGATTAGTTCACGACTTCACGTTCCAAAACAAATTCAAAAAAAAACATTATATCGAATACACATGCCTTTAAAAGGCTCTTGAATTTATATGTTAAAGGAGAAACAATGATGCTCGGTAGACAAATGATATTCAAGCTGTTCAAGCAAAAAAAAGGTGTGGTTTAATGATGCTCCAAAATCAGACAACAATTCCATCTTCAGACGAAACTAGGAAAGAAACCCGACATAATTTACTTCTTTCTTTAACTATATAGGGCCTAGAAAGAACAAATAAAGCAGTTTCTCATTTGCAGATCAGTGATGTTACAAATCTAATTAACAAAATCTTAGCTTCTTATACGATTATAATTTTCTTTGAGATATTTTCTTTATCCCTTATTTTCCAGCTTGTGCTGCTGTGCATATGCATTACAATCGTAGACCAAAGCAAGGGACATGCAAGAGTGAGCAGGGATCTTCAGAATATATTTTCTCAAAATTTAAGCACCTGGGAGCAAAGAAGAACATATTGTTGCAGATACATGCTGTCAAAGAGAGGCCGCATAGCTATGGGCCGGTTGATAAACTCATGTCCAGTATCTGCTATCTTTGGGCTATCAGAAGCATTATCTTGTCCTGCACCTAAAAACAATGAAAAGGATGTGATTAGAAAGTAATTGTGATTAGGGCTAAAAGAAAGGGTTGGGCAGGCAAAAAGAAAGAGAGAGCTAGATAACCCAACATATCTGGAGAAAAATATTAGGAGCTGTCAGAGTTTCAAACTTCCAATGAAATGCACTACTAAACAATCTCATTACACCGTCAAATGGATAATTGAATCAGGGTAAGGGACGTACAACCCATTTGATTATCCTACTTGTACACACATTGTTTGAAGCATGAAACATATGGTACCCAGTAAAGGTGAAGTCCTGCTGATAGCACTATAGGTTACTAACTACCTGCCCATTTGGAGATATCAAGTTCATATACAATCCAAGTGCCAATTATGTGACAAGAGAAGTGGTTTAAGATGGAAGATTCTTTTCACCCTTCATTTATTAAATTCCACCCACTGGATTCCCTTATAACATGATATGCTTTATTTAATTCAGATTCAAGGACAAAATTGGATAGCACTGCAACAAACGGTAGACCAGTGAATCGTACAGGAGTACTTTCTTTTTGGCCTTTTGAACTATTGTTCCTCAAATTGATATACCTTCTTGTCCAAGAGGGAAAGTCTCCTGAACATGGGAGGATGTCCCTTCCAAATGCTCTTCTTCATCAGATAACTCCGACTCTGAAGAATCATCAGCACTTTCTGTACTGAGATCATTTGACAGCCCTAGTTGTTCATGGACTACCAAATTTAGTCTTTGTATAAGAAAGACTACCGCACCCTGGTCAATCAAAGTCATCTTTAGCTCAGCAATAATTAAACTGGAAATGGGAGAGTTCAGAACATAAAGGTAAAACTGGTAAATCACCTGCCAAAAGGAATAGCAGCCATCGACTAATTTATTTGTCCTGCCTTGAAATCCACCTTCGACTCCTTGTCTAAATACCACCCAATCCTAAAGATTCATAATCACAAACATCATCTCCATCAATACCGTCAGATGATCCAGATTTAAGTAACATCACTTCACCAACAACTCGATAGAACTCAACTTGGGAATAGTTATTAAAAAAGCAACAGAATGAAACTACTAAGAGAAGTAAAGAGACTGAGAGGATGTCATGTAGAGGTACTACTATACGAAAGATATTTAGAAGGAAAAGGAACTAATATGTTGATTAATAATCTACCCCCAACAATCCCAGGAATGCAGCAGCAAAACCTGGTAAAGGAATCCCCTGCAGCTGCTACAAAATGGACCAGTCAAGTAAATATAAGGTGAAACCAACGTCAAAACAAAAATTCTAGGCCAGAAGGCAATTCCTGAGTTTCTAGATATCCTCCTATCCACCATATAAAAGGCAGCCCGGTGCACTAAGCTCCCCACGCATAGTGGGTCCAGGGAAGGGTCGGACCACAAGGTAATAAAAGGCATTCAAAAGTTTAATACTCCAACATCCCCAATAAGGGACAACTACCAAAATGCTGCATGTTATTTCCCAGCTGTTTATCATCTAATTCACTTTTTTCCATCTGCTAACTTTTCCAGTGCATCAAAGTTATTTCCTATTTATTTTCACTTTTGATTCCTAAATATCCAATAAATAGTTGTATCTGTAAAAATAAAATAGCCTACCATTGTAAAACCAATGATTTTTTGTTTTTGATTTTTGGATTATGGCTTATCACCTTAACTACTAGAATAATCTCATGTACTCAGTAATTACAGCACTAAAATGCTTCTCCAGTTCTTCAATTGCCAGCTGAGATTCAGCTCATCTCTACGTTCTTTTTGTTCTCCTTTTCATTTTATGAGAAGTAACAAAAAAGCAATGTGGAACATTTGTGAAGACAAACTAAAATGCAACTATTGTAACAAGATACTTTTCTTGTTTCAGTTTCATTTGATCAGTCATGGAGGCCAGTAACAAACAAGAAATGATAATATCCCATTTCATGACAGTGAGAGGAATGCCACAGTCCTGTAACCCTGATGGGGAAAAAAGAGAGTACACACACACGTGATTATCTTAGCAACATTCATCAGTCCCCAACAGAGTCCTAAAGCAACTTACAATTAAACCTAGCAAGTCCAATCGATTCACTTCGTTGATCAGAATCATTGCAGCCAACCCACAGAAAGTATACCTAGAAAATGAGTTTAAATGTAAAGGGCTTCAGTAACATCATAAGCTGAGAAGTGATAGTTTTACTATGGCAACTAACATTGACAGAGAACTATAAGAAAAAGAGCGAAACAAGATTAGAAAGATGAGAATATCTCCAACGTGAGACTTACCCACCATGAGCTTCAGAACCTGGTTCGCCAGCAATTCCACCTTCATAAGTTTGACAACTGAAAACAAAAATGGGAGAACAGCTTAGGAAAGGCTTATCCAAGAAAATACATTCTTATAATGAATTCCAACAAAAAATGAGGGACATTAAGGAAAAGAAAGATCTACCACCTAATTCTTATCTTGTATTTCTGACACAAACTAAGAATAAATTCTTATTTATCCTAGCTAAATAATTCTTATGATGAGACTGGAATTAAATCAAGAACTTGAGAGAACAAGAATGAGACAAACTAGAATAAAAGAACAGTTCCTTCATCAATTTTTATTCAACAAGGACTTTCAACTTTCTCAGATGGCAAGAATTAGGAAACATCAGTTATCTCTCATATTTTAATCCCTGACAAATGGAAGCTGTCATCAACTCAGAGTCATGAATATGCAAACATAACATCGTTCTGAAATGATACTTGGAAATTTGCTTCCCTTACCAATGGGATTGAATCTCAATGGAAACCTTCAATGCAACTAAAGCACCCGCCTCTGTCATGCATTTAGTACGTATAATTAACTAGTCACTATGCACTGACTAGTTGGTGACAGTAATATGAATACTCCAAATCCATTACTTCGGGTCATCCCAATACTCAATATTTTGTCTTTAAGATATATTAGTTCTTAAAATCTCACACCTGCTCTGCCATAAACATATCTCTAACCAAACAAAAGGACTTCTGGCAAACACAACCTAATGTAAGTTTAACAACAACTAATCCTTTTCTTTTCCTTAATCTCAACTAATTGATGTAGTGGCTTTTGGGTGATTGTAGGTCTTTAGACAGTTTTTCTTCATGTGATTTAGAATCTACCTCGTTGCATTTATAGCAACTTCAATTATTTCAGTATCGTACCTAGGCTGGTATATTTGAAGGTTAATGTAAACACGATTAAACCATTTCGACAAATCTTTACTCATGATCCTCTATGCGTGCTATCTTGTTGCATCGTTTGTTGGAGGTGAGCATTTCCAATCTGATTTTCAAGCTTGTATGACCACATATCCATATTAACATCTATAATTCATGACAGTTAACTAGTGAACATGTTGGGTTTTATAGAAAACAATCACTCACATATTATTGCTAGTCTCACAACCATTCGTAATATAACTTGCTTTCCATTCTGATAGTTATCTTTTTATCTGATTGCACTCCTCTAATACTCCCAAATTTCTGCCATGCTCTTTTAATTTTATATGTTACATCAGCATCAACATCTATCGTGTAATTCTCTTGGAAGACAACTACACTAGTAAATCAAAAAGAGATATTACAGCTCAAGTATGAAATACGGTATACATAAAGAGAGAGTTGAATGATCTGTAGTAGATGAGTGCGCATCTCAAACCAACCTTAGGATGTAATTTCCAACACCATGAATCAGCTCGTCATCCACAATGTTTAATATATTTGCAACCTAAGAAACTAATGTATCAATTAACATGAAAACACATTATTCCAAAGACAATTAAGAAGAAAAAGGTCAAACTTGAAAGCGCAACATGCGAGAAATGGGTATGTACTATGTAATAAAGTATAAAATATCTATACAATTTGCAAGAGAGGCGTGCATCAGAAGGCTTTGATTGCCTCGTAAATGAAACTTGGGAAATGTTTGAATCTAATTTATTTTCAAAAAAACTAAAGTGATTCGTCAATAAAAAAATTATATTTGCTTAAAGCTTATCTCAGAGTTTTCCATCCAAATGCAGCAAAAATAATGAAAATATCACCAGAACTCAGATCACAAGGAGATCACACTTACAGAAATGGCAGTATAACAGGCACGAACATCTACTTCTCCACCATCATGCATCCTGCAGAAAATATTTGAAGTTTGAACTTAGCAAAGATGGGAAGTGGCAAGTCATCATTGATGAAATTTGAATATTGAAACAAAATGCTAGAAACAAGTGATCTCTCAGATGCTGTTTGTTAAATACACTTGGATCTACAAACTCAAGAATACACACACAAACATTTTATACATTTACAGATCAGGGTAAAAGTGTCAACTACAGTGCTAGTTCATCCAAAGTCTAGTTCCCCTCAGAAGGAAAACATAACAAAATTAGCAGGTAGGATTAATCAGGAGAATCAGTAGCAATGGAAGAACATTAGCACATACAACAGAGAGATGGCAAATTTTAAAATGGATAAATGAAGTTACAAATAGAAAGAAAAGCACCTAGATTTTTTTTTCAGAAACTGATAGTAGATAAATACAGCAGACTAAGAATGAGATCTAAAGGAAGACATGATTTGGGGAGCTGATCAAATAATGTAAACAAGTAGGAAGAATCCTACCTGAATCCACCACTTGCGTCTTTCATTCGCAGCAAAAATGTGTACAATTTTTCTCTGAGTCATATTATTAGATCAATGTCAACAGGAATGAACAATAGATAAGACACCAATAAGAACATACTATAGCTTGTGCACCTATTAATTGATGACAGAGCTTCAGGTTTGCCCAAAGTTATGAGTGAATTGACTGCAGCATAAGTAGTTGCAAGATGAGGCATCTGAAAAAAGTAAAACAATACAAATATTACTTCAAAAAACCTTAATGATAGGAAGCACAAGAACTGTATAAAATAAACAGGTTGAGCAGAATAAACAGAGCTTGAAACTGTTAAATTTGTGATTCTAAAAGAAACAGAAAAGGAGGTACAAGCTAACTTAGAAAAGAACGAGGAACCAGGCCAATAATTAAATGCATATTCATCAATTCAGATGACTATTTCCCTCTAATAGAATTATCTTTTAATTTGAAGTCCTCCAACAGAATTATATAGAGTTAACAAATTTACAATATTCAAATCAATCATCATCACAAAATAAAGCAGCATACTGCATATCAAAAACAATTGAAGACATCAGAAAATCAAACTCAATGTGAAAATAAGCATGAAGAAGCTGACACAAATCTGATTTAACGGCACTAAGAGTGGAGTGGGAGAATTTGACTTGCCTGACCAGGTCCACCTCCATAGCCACCATCTTTATCCTGTGAGGAAGGTAACCGTAAACAACACATGAAACTAAATCTTACCGCATTTTCTTGCGTGAGAAGTCCAAAAACAAATTAGCTAGAATTGCAGGCAAGAAAAAAAGGACAGTTGCACCAGTATTCTGGAAAGGTGGATGATAAAACATATCACAAATAACAGTCAAGAAAGATACCGATACCGATACAATAAATTATCTCTTAAGCAAATATTGTAATAACAATAATTTGGGATAACATTCTCATCACCATGTATATCACATTTCTATGACTAGGTTCAAATATCACTACAGAATCTTTTCTCCATGCATCATTATTAGTCACCCCTAAACACAATCAATCATGTGCACTGGTCTATAACTCTTTATGATTACAATTTCTAAGCAATAGCACAGAGATGAATGCAAGTAGTTCCAATTTTAGTTCATAAGAACCACAATAAAGTCCTTGGTGGAAAAGCCTCTTGAAGTTTGTTATAAAGTCTACCATATCTTTGAAAAGTCTACAGAGACTTTTGAGTTTTGTACGGTAGTGGAAGCCTATTGAAGTTGTCAGCCCTAAACAAGATGTAACTGGGTGCTTAGAATATAGCATGTACTTTAGTAGTAGCCTTTTCTGCTTAGAACACTTATCTTCAAATATCTATTTGGCCATAGATGTTCAATCAAATTTTGAAAATCTGTCTTCAAAAAAATATCAAGTTCCAAAAGCTGGTCCAGACCAGTTTTGGGAGAAATTACACTTTTACTCACAAAAGTTCCAAATTTTCCAAGTAATATGCATGTACAAACACAACTTCAAGTTCCAAAAATCACAAGTTCAAAAACTCAAATTTTCAAGTTTTAACTTCAAAATTTGGGAGCTAAAACAATCTCCCTAAGTTCAATGCTTCAAACCCACTTTTTTCACCACAAGAAATTCCTTCTGCTCAATACGTAAAAAAAGCCTGATGTTATATATATCGTGGTCTTGTAGCAAAGTATGGTCCTAAAACAAACAAAAAAGGTGATTCATTACACATAAGTTTTCCTCAGTGAAAGTGATCCTATTGGCTTGCTCTGCACCCATCCCCAAAACAAATACACTAGATCCCTACACATTTCTTTTTAAAGAAAGACATAGATACATAAACAGCAGAATACATAATGAACAAACCTGGCAACGGGTCAGAAAGTCAGTCGCATCATTTTCCAGTTTGGCACCAATAGATTCTCCCAACAAAGCAATTGAATGAAGTATCCAGTAGCAAAGCCATGGTCGACTAGAAAGAAAAACTTAAGTAAGGCATAGAAATAGTTGATGATAACAAAATAGCCTTTGGTTCCATTGGACTAGAATAGATGCCAACATCCCATCTTGATGAACACATTGTCCAAACTTTTACATTATGTTGGTGAGATATGGGAAAGGGAACCAAAGGGCATGACTTAACGAAGTTGGAATGGACATTGGGAATGGGAGACCACAGAATTCTTCCCGTTAAGTTTTATTGTTGAACCCATTATATTTATAAAATTTATGGTTTCATATATACTATTTATTGTACTTCCAGGGAAAATTTACACGTAGATTTATACCCCACATTGAAATTATTGGGTTCAGAACTTCAAATGAACCTGATACACCAAAGTTGCATACCCCATGGTGGATAGCACATGTGCTAGTGAGAGATAGCATGTTTCAATCCATTAGTCGAGGTATGAGCAAGTTGGTTGGAAAACATTGTGATCCCCCCACAAGAAAATGAAAAAGAAGAAAACCTTAGTGTGTCCTACACTGACAAGATTAGTCAATATGAACTTATAGACAATCCAACTATGTTGTATGTAACTAAACATTGGTGAGAGCTTTATTTTTATTTTTATTTTTTATAACTACGGACCAACTTGTGCGCACCTCGATTAATTCCACATGGTACGTCCTACCTCCCACTAGCATAGATAGTGGGTAACTCTATCCATCAATGCTTGGACAGAATAAGAGCTTGGGAAGAAATCACTGAACTTTTTGCCTTTGAATTTGAGTTCTGGTGATTCTCGTCCTAGTTCATTAACCACTAGACTACACTCTTAGGTGGATGCTTGGGGAGAGTTTATTTGAAGGTCAATATTCATCCACGTTCGCTTGTTTAGCTCTTTCCTCTCGTTACCATAGATTCTTCTATTGAAAGCTCAATCTCAACTCTCTCACTAAAATTGAATCTTGCAAACAGTGTTCTTTTCTTCCTAAAAAGTCACTCAATCAATCAATAGACTAGATCCCAAATTAGTTGAGATCAGCTATATAAAGCTATATTAACTGAGGTACTACTTCATTCAAGTCAATTCCATTCCAATACTTAATAATTTTCCTTTTAAAGCACATTAAATTCATAATACGAAATAATTTCAGTTATTTTAATTTTGTTTTCCTATTAGCCACCAGTTAAAATTAGAATCTTCAACATTGCAAGTGAACTCCACAAATTCGATGAGTGGTGAGAAACGATCATAGAGAGAGGGAGCTTACCTGGCATCCAAAACGGAAAACGACGGACCAAGTTTTCTGAGACCTTGGCTAAGATAATCGAAGTGTTTGTCACGTTCCAGCTCTATGCTTTATAAAAGAAAGAAAGAAAGAAATCAACACAAAATAAGTTCATCAATAAAGGAATTAGAACCCTAGAAATTGAAAAAGGTTGAGAGCTAACAGGTCGGACAGGGAATTGGGGGAAATGCTGTAGAAATAATCGTATATCTCTCGGACTCGACGCTCCACCACCCATTGATCTTCCAGCGTCTTCGTCACTTTCCTCGACTCCATTTTTTCACTACAACCGATTACTACTCTGACTGTAAATTTCGTCAGCGCCAAATCAACGCTCGTTTACTCTTTCTGCTAACTTTTCTCCATATGAAGTTTGATTCTAGTTTCTACCTTTTGTCTTCCTTGGGCTGATCCCTTTCTTGCAGGCCCAATATTTCTAGTTTCCGGGTTGTCTAGCCCATCATGTTATGAGCCCAGCCCTATCCAAGTCATAGAAGGCCTAATTGAGGGAAGTGCACAAATAGCTGATATTTAAAAGGGAAAATCACTTACACGTACATTTTAAAAAAAATATTTACGACATTTGTCAACATTATTCTTTTAACCATATATAACAATTTGGCTGAATGACAGTATTGCTAAAAGTTGCAAATGGCAGCACGTTTTGCTAAGTTTAAAGGAACAAAATTGTTTTAAGTAAGTATTGCTAAAAGTTGACAAAAATGGTAATAAATTAAAAGTATACTTAAAAGTGGTAATTATTAAATAAAATACCTTCACTTATGTAATTTTTCCTATTTTTTTTTTAAAAGATGACTAACATTTGGATAAAATTAAAGACTAATGAACTTGTCCACGCTTCGCGCATAGTGAATGGTCGTTTTATAAATTTGTTATTAATTAAAAAATTAAAACTTACTTTTACTACTATAGTTCTTTTAAGGATTTTTTAATATCATAAGATATTATTGATGAAATTTATAGGAATAAACAAATAAAAGAATAAAAAAAAGTAATTTGAAGAAATAATATAACATTAATAATGAGATTTGAAGGAAGGAAGTAAAAGAAATTAATAGCATTGATGATGAATGGAATTGAATATGGCCATCTTTGATATTTCTTATTTTTTTTTAAATTCAGTCTTTTGATTTTATTTTTTAAAATCTTCAATAAATAAAATAAAATTTGAGGCATAATATTTTTTGAAAGAATGACTTTATTTCTGAGAAATTATTTAATAAAAATATAAGAAAAATATCAAAAATATTGATAAATTTAAAATAAAATAAATTTCAATTAAAGACACAAAAAATAAGACAAAGTAAAAGAATACAGAAATTAGTAGAATAAATAAGTTGAAAGAAATAATGTCAGTAGTAAATTTTAATTAATTGAAGATATAAAAAAAACTTTAAGTAAAGAAACATAAAAAAAAATAAGATAACATTAAAAAAGAAAGAAATTTATAGAATACTTATTCTCTCCTAATTGGATATCAATTCCATATATATATATATATATATCTTTTAGCAAAAGAAATGATCTAAAAATTCAAAAAGGCAAATAAAATTCTGTAATTTTTTTTTGCAATTTTTATGAAGTTATAATAATAACCAAAAAAAAGAAAAAGAAGTAATTTAAGGAAATAATATAAATAACATTAATGATGGAATTAAGGAAAGAAGTAAAAGATATCAATAGTGATGATAATAGGAATTAAATATGGTCATTCTTGATATATTTTCTTACTTTTTCTAAAAAAATCAGTCTTTAGAAATTAAAAAAATAACTCCAAAAAATAAAATAAAAATTTGAGGCATATTTTATTTTGGAAGAATAATTTTATTTAAGGGAAAATTTCGTAAATGTTGATAAAATTAATTTAAAAAATATAAAAACTTTAATAGAAAATATAAAGAAAAAAAAAGTGATTTAAGGAAACAATATAAATAAAATCAATATTGATGAGATTAAGGGAAGGAAGTAAATTAAATTAATAGCATTGATGATGATAGGAATTAAATATTGTCATCTTTGATATTTTTTCTTGATTTTTTTTTTAAAAAAAACAGTCTTTTGAAAATTTTAATAAAAGCCTCCAACAAATAACATAAAAATATGAGGCATAATTTCTTTGAAAGAATAACTTTATTTCTGAGAAATTATTTTAATAAAAATATAAGTGAAAAGAAGAAAGAAATTAGTAGAATAAATAAGTTGAAAGAAATAATATCAGCAACTTTAATTAATTGAAGATAAATAAAAAAAACAAACTTTAAGTAAAGAAACATAAAAAAATAAGATAAAATTAAAAAAGAAAGAAACTTGTAGAATACTTATTTCTCCTAATTTGATATCAATTCCAGATATATATATATATATATATATATATATATAAAGATCTTTTATCAAAAG